AGGAAAATGAGCTGATTCCGGGAACCCAAGAGGCAAGCGAATTTTGGGAATGATGAGGGCAACAAATGTATAGATGTGCTCTACACAATTGATTTATGTATTGTGATGAATTTTATGAGCCCCAATAAATTGATTTAAAAAAATAATGTGTGAAACAAAAAGAGGAGCAAGCATTGACTCTGGTCTCACCACATATAAAAAATTTTTATTTAAAACCTGTCAAAAAAAAAAGCTAACACTACAACTTGTAGAAGTGGTAGGAGGAAAAATCTCTGTGACTTCGAGTAGGCAAAACTTGCTTAAGACACAAATATGAACTGTGAAAGAAAAAGTAAGTAAAATTTCATCAAACTAAAAACACCCGAAAAGGTCAGCTGTACACTAAGTGCTTATACTGTAAATCTATACGGTTGGCAGTTTAAAACTACCAACCTCTCCTAGTAAGAAAGATGGGGCTTTCTTCTCGTGAATAGTTAGTCTCAGCAACTCCCAGGATTGCTATGAATCAGCATCGACTCCATGGCAGTGATTGAGTACGCTGAGAAATAGTTGCAAAACAGAAACAAAAGAGTTATATCTAGAATATATAAAACACCCTTAAAACTCAATAATAAAATAAGAAACCAATAAGATGTGAGCAGGCACATCATAATAGAGGGTTTATGCACATGAGTTATCAGGGAAATATAGATTAAAACTATGATGACTTAGCACCACACATCCACTGGAATTGTTAAAATGAAAAAGCACCAGGAGTTGGTAAAAATGTAGAGTAATTTGAATTCATGTTTTGCTGACAGAAATGTGAAGTGGTGCAACTCTATCAGAAAGATGTTAGGCAGTTTCTTACAGTGAACATTTCTATAACAACTAAGCATATGCAAGTTCAAGTTAAAGGTGAAGGAAATTAAAACAAGTCCATGAGAGACAAAATACGACCTCGAGTCTGTCCCACCCAAGTTTTGAGACTATCTCAGGAACAGATTTAATACATTGAACACTAATGACTAGAGACCTAATGAGCTATGGGAAGACATCAAGAATATTCTTTATTAAGAAAGCAAAAGGTCATTAAAAACACGGGGAGAAAAAGATCAAAAGATCAAAGTGGATGTCAGAAGAGACTCTGAAACTTGCTCTTAATCATAGAGTAGCTAAAGCAAAATGGAAGAAAGTTTGAATTCAAAGAGCTGAATAGAACATTTCAAAGGGCAGCTTGAGGAAACAAAGTCACATAATGAAGTGTACAAAGACCTCGAGGTAGAAAACCACAAAGGAGGAACATGCTCAGCATATCTGAAACTGAAAGAACTTGAGTTACAATATTGCGAGAGATGCTGTGGGTAAAATAATTGCATCAGCAGGAGGTATCCAGAGGAGATGGGAAGAATGCACAGAATCACTGTAACAAAGCCCTAGTCAGCATCACCATTTCAGGAGATAATGTCTGAGCAAGAACCATGATACTGAAGGAAGAAGTTCAAGCTGCACTGAAAACATCAGCCAAAAACAAGGCTCCAGAAATTAATGGAATACCAATTGAGATGTTTGAACAAGATGATGTAGCACCACAAGCCGTTAACTCATCTATGCCAGAACATTTGGAAGACAGCTACGTGGTCAACTGACTGGAGGAGACCATATTTGTACCTATTCCAAAGAAAAGTAATGCAACAGACTGTTCAAACTGTAGAACAATATCACTGATATCAAATGCAAGTAAAATTTTGCTGAAGATCATCCAGCAATGGTTGCATTGGTGTATTGGCATGGAACTGCCAGAAATTCAGGCCAGATTCTGTAGAGAACATGGAACAAGAGATATCATTGCTGATGTCAGATGGATATTGGCTGAAAACAGAATACCAGCACAATAAAATTTGTGTTTCATTGACTATGCCAGGCATTCCACTGTGTGGATCATAAACTGTAGATAATCTTGAGAAGAATGATAATTCCAGAATACTTCATTGTACTTGCGTGGAACTTATACATGCATCACAAGCCAGGTGTGTGACTAGAACAAGGGAATGCTTTGCATGGGTTAAAATCAGGAAAGGTGTGCATCAGAATTTTATCTTCTCACCATGCTGAGCAAATCACCAGAGAAGATGGATTATATGAAGAAAAATGTGGCATCTAGATCAGAGGAAGGCTTATTAACGTGATATACAGAGGACACAACCCTGCTTGCTGAAAATGAGGAGGACTTGAAACACTCGAAGATCAAGGATTGCAGCCTTCAGTATGGGTTGTGACTCAATGCAAACCAGACCAAAATCCTCACAACTGGACAATAGGTAATATCATGGTAAATGGAGAAAAGATTGGAGTTGTCAAGGTTTATGTCTTGTTTGGATCCATAATCGATGCTCGTGGAAGTAACAGTCAAGTGATAAAAACACGTGTTGGATTAGGTAAATCTGTTGCACAAGTCCTCTTTAGAGTATTGAAAAAGTAAAGCGTTTACTTTGAGGACTAAGGTGGGCCTGGCCCAACTCATGGTATTTTCAGTTGCCTCATAAGCATGTGAAAGTTGGACATTGAGAAAAGACGACTATGAAGAAGAATTGATGCATTTGAATTGCGGTACTGGTGAGGAATATTGAAAATTGTCATGGACTGCTAAAAGGACAAACATCTGCCTGTCAGAAGTACAACCAGAGGGGTCCTGAGACAGCAGTCCCTGGAGAAGGACGCCATGGCAAAGTGGAGGGGTAGCAGAAAAGAAGCAGGTCCTCAAAGAGATGGGCTGCCACAGTGGCTGCCACAGTGGACTCAGGCACAGGATCAAATGTGAGAGTAGCGCAGGACCGGGCAGTCTTTCATTCTGCTTTGCACAGGGTCCCTATGAGTCGTAAACAGCTCAATGGTACCTCACAGCTACAGCAAGCAATCTCTTCCTAAAGAAATGAAACCATGTCCACATTAAGACTTATGCTTTGTTCATAGTAGTTAAAAAATGAAAGCAGTCCTGATATCTTCAATAAAAAGAAATGGACTATTAATATACACAGTACTATCGGTAAGTCTCTGAAAGTTAAACCAAACACAAGTAGATTTTGTGCAAGTTAAGATTCTATTTACTTGCAGTTCTACAAATTTTGAACTAAACTATAGGTATGCTATAGTTGCCTAGAGTTTGACGTGTGGGGGGAGATTGACAACAAATGGGTATGAAAGAACTTTTGGGGATGATTTAAATGTTATGTCTTTATTGTAATATGGGATTCTATTTGTTAAAATAATAAAGCAATCTCAATCTTAGAGAAATGAACTGCATACTGGGTATATTAATTGGTTTGTAACTCATTCCTCTTTTTTTCCCTCAAAAGGAGAAAAAATGAAGGCAGGTAAAAGTGCCATCACATCTTGGTCTGCTACATTTCTTTTCTCTAAAGCATTGCTTCCTAAAGTGGATAAAATTGCTCCCGTGGGGGTGAGGGTTGTGGTGGGGAGGAGATGGGGCTAGAATGATTCAGGGCGCTGTAAAAGCAAATACCTACACTTTTATCCTGGACTGTGAACTATAGTACAAAAGTTTTTATTTGCCAGGGAGGTACTGAAATGGGCACAGTAGGCCAAATAAGTTTTGGAACCTATGCTCTATAAGAGTGTACAGCCAGGTCTGAGACTGAGATTAAATCTGTCTACACAGGGTGTGATCTGTTGTCAGAACAGGCTGCCACCTTGATCAGGTAGTGCTCACCAGTGATCCCATTGCCAACACTGTGGAATTTCAATTGAGTTTTCTAAAAAGACAAGAAATACATTTTAGAACTCTTAAAGTGAAGTTGTCCCAAGAGAAAACACTCCTCCCAAACAGTTGCTACTGCTAGATCTCATCTACCAGGGCTGGTGGATTGCAAAGTTATTGTGGCAAGCTGACTACTGCTAAACAGATTCACTGAGTTTTTCTATAGAAAACAAAAATGTCTTAATTAAATGTACATTTGATAGTGAAATCTTCATTTTGTATGCTTTTTATTACCAGGTATCTATCATCCCACGTGGCAAAGGATTAGGCTATGCTCAATATTTACCAAAAGAACAATACCTATATACCAAAGAGCAGCTCTTAGATAGGATGTGTATGACTTTAGGTGGTCGTGTGTCAGAAGAAATCTTCTTTGGAAGAATTACAACTGGTGCTCAAGATGACTTGAGAAAAGTAACTCAGAGTGCATATGCCCAAGTAAGTGTATGAAATAGAGTGTTTCTTCTGTGTATTATCACATTTGCATGAGAAATTGACATTCTTGAAATGAGCCTAGAACAATAGTATTGTGCTTAACTCTTTTAGGCTTTTTAGGCAGATTATTTTATAGATATCTGTGTGTATCATTTGAAACAGAAATTCAGTGCCTGTTTAGCAGTAATTCCTATTCCCTACTCCCCTAGCTTTTGTTGTTAGATGTCATCACGTTGGTTCTCACCCATAGCAACCTCATGCACAACAGAATGAAACACTAGCTGGCCCTGCACCAACCTCACAGTTGTTCCTATGCATGAGCCAATGTTGCAGCCCAGGTGTCATGCAAACTCCTAGAGTACCTTCCTCTTTTTGCTATCCCTGTAGTTTACCAACATGATGTCCTTCTTCAGAAACTGATGTCTCTTGACAGCATGCCCAAAGTGTATGAAAGGTGAAGTCTCACCATCGTTGCCTTTAAAGAACACTAGTTTTGGTTCTTCCAACACAGATTGATTTGTCCCTTTAGCATTTCATAGTACTTTAAATATTCTTCTCTAGCACCACAGCTCAGAAGCACTGATTTTCTACCGACTTCTTTGTTCAATGTCAGTTTTTCTGATCTCTTAAGATGTAGAAGTGATTAGCACTGATTTTTTAATTTCATTATTGTAGAATTCCTTCTTTTGTTTTCATAAAGTATTTAAAAGCAACAACCAACAGCAGGACTTTCTACTGGGTTCTGGTCTTGTTCTCCTTTCATCTGGATTTTGTTCTTCTAATCTAATTCACATTTTATTTCCAGCAATTCCTTCTTAATGTGAGGCTTGGCCCAGAAAAGAGCTTGTCTGGTTTGTTGGGGGGTGGGGGTGGGGTGCCAGTCTTTCCAGACCTTCCTCTGGACTCAGGGAACTAGAGGATTCAAATGGTCTTCTAGCTCTCACATGGCCATGCCACTTTCTAGGAAGAGCCTGTTGGACATTTTAGGGTTCTACCTCCTCAGGCCCATCAGGTCTGTCTTCTCTCTTTTCCCCTCTTACAAATAGTATTATCTTATAGGTGTTGTAGCTGTCGGTAACTGCTTCCCACCTCTTTGTCACTTAATTTTGTTGTACATGTTTGTAGTTTTCTGGTTTTGTTTTCTAGTTGAGTTTCAAATACTCTGCCATCGCTATTACCAGATAGACAGGATACCCTGCTCTATGAGTCAGGTCTTGAGCTGACTCAGGGCTACCATGTTAATATCCAAGTTAGAGAGCAATAGTACCATAAAATGTGTACGTTGATGCCATTATAAAAATGCACTGCCATTTTATAAAAATAATATTGATCAGTCAAGAAAAATGGATGCCTACCACTATTTATCTAAATTTTTCTGTCAGATTGTTCAATTCGGCATGAATGAAAAAGTGGGACAAATTTCCTTTGACCTTCCACGTCAAGGGGACATGGTATTGGAGAAACCTTACAGTGAAGCCACCGCACGACTAATAGATGATGAAGTCCGATTACTTATTAATGATGCTTATAAAAGGACAGTAGCTCTTCTCACAGAAAAGAAAGCCGATGTGGAGAAGGTAGGTACCAGTCATATGACTAATTTCCCATCAAGTTTGCAGGAAAAGAATAAAATGATAGATTGGATAGTTGATTGGTTTATAAAGTTCTGAGGTTCTCCTTTCTGGTCAGCTTGTGTACTCATTCATCCTAGCTATTTAGTGCCAGCTCTGTCTGGATGAGGCAGCTTGATAGCGTGGTGAGCAGAAGCACACAGCCCCACTTCGTATAGCTCTTACTTTCTAACTAGGAATATGAATGAGAGGTCAGTGAAGTATGCTAATAAGTATATCATAAACAATAATGAAATTAGCATTGCCCACCAGAGCTTTCAAGGAGCACAATGATTGATTGGATTTACAATTGTTTTTCACTGCCAGAATCAACAGTAATAAAAGATGAAAGAACAAAAAAAGAATTTACCACACACGAGACAACTAAGAAATTGGCATATGGAAGTTTAATTTAGCTTGATTATGGAATAACAGCAATAAACATGCTTGGTGAATCCTGTTGTTGCACCTCACTTGATAGTGGCTGTGAAAAGGGAGAGGCACATTCTCTGCAAACCATAAATTTCATGTATCCAGTAAACCAACTCTTCCAAGATCTATGCAATCAGCATTGGGAATTTTTTTGTTCATTCCACATTCCACATTCTAATGAGAAAAACACAATTGGAAAAGCCTCTAATAAGGGCTTTTGAGGCAATTAAAGGCTTTTCTCAGATATGTTTTTCAGTTAGCAAGTCTTCAGGGAAGCCTTCTATGCGCCTGCCTTGGAGCCAGTCCTTCCTCCACAGTCCTTGCCTAAATAGGAGAGAGAACTGGTGTACATGTGACATGGAGCCAGAGAAGGTTTTATATGAATGGGTGAAAGAGAGCTTAAATTTTAAATGAATCAGGGTAGAATATGAGGAGCCATAAAAAAAAAGACCTATGCTCATTTGTTTTTTTGATGTGAAGGGGACAATGCATTTCAAGTTTGTTCCTCCGGTCACACTGTTATACAAGCTTTCCATTTAGAAGTTCTGGAAAGATTACGTAATAGTGTGTGACCAAAAAAGGCCTAATTTGTGGCAGACAAAGTAGTTTGCCACCACGACAGTGCATCTATTCACGCAGCCATCTCATTGTGTCAGTTTTTGGCAAAAACAGCATGCCTCTCTTGCCCCATGCATCTTACCCGACCTCGCAATGTGCAACTTCTTTTTGTTTCCGCGAATGTAAAGGTTCATGAAAGGACAGCAATTTGATGACTTAGAACAGGTGAAGAAGAAAACAAGGGAAGTGCTGTCAGGTATACAGACAGATGAGTTTGAAAAAAATGTTTCCAAGAATGGAATCACAGATTTGACAAATGTCTTAGGTGTAATGGAGAGTAGTTTGAAGGTGATAGGTTGTTTTGTAAAAAAATTTAAATAAATAGCTTTGGGAAAACATTCCAGTTGGTGGGGTGGGTGGGAGTGGAGGTACCCCCTAGTACTTGAAAGAAAGGAGGACTATGCACTATGGAAACACAGACGTGTGTACAGTGGGCTTGAGAGAGTTTTTCAGAAAATAGAATTAAAAGATAATGCTCTTTTGTGGTTCTTTTTTTCTTTTTTTATCGTTTTATTAGGGGCTCATACAGCTCTTATCACAATCCATACATACATCAATTGTGTAAAGCACATTTGTACATTCATTGCCCTCATCATTCTCAAAACATTTGCTCTACACTTAAGCGCCCAGCATCAAGTCCTCATTTTTCCCCCTCCGTCCCTGCTCCCCCCTCCCTCATGAGCCCTTGATAATTTATAAATTATTATTTTGTCATATCTTGCCCTGTCCAACGTCTCCCTTCA